TATATAGTAGATATATAGTATGGGAAAAGTCGATCACAACTAAGTTTACTATAAAAAAATATTGAAATAAGCTAAACACTTAAATTTGATGCTTTTCGATGATGACCTTTGGAATGGATACAGCAAGCATCAAAAATTCAAATTATCATCCAATGTTCCGATTCCTTGGTGCCCTCATGACCATAAGAGTTATTAATAGTGTCATTTTCGTGTAATGTTACTTCTCCATCTTTATAAATTTTTCTTTCAAATATAACAATAAGATAATTTGAGTGCATATTTATCGTATAGTGAATGTGAATAGGATTTTTATTGAGTCTTTTAATAAAATGCTCTAACTTCTCTAATTGAGTTTTGATTTTAGATTTTACATGAATAAAATTCTTAATGAGATTAATTCATTGAATAAATTATAACTTTTCTATTATCTATATGCAAAATTTTCTCATGTGTAAACTTATATTTTCAGAAAAAATTAAATTTCTACAATCAACTTATCGCTTTAAAAACTTTATTCGTACAAAATGTCAAGTCGAAAGTCAATTAGAGGAGTGACAACATCTTGTTGAAAAAGTACATCAATCTAGACTTTTTTTTTTATTATTCACTAGTACTCATCAAATGAATATCCTTTCGGATGAAACGTAACTTGACATCTGAAGTGATTATCTTGATATTTTTACTTTAAAGATTATAATACTTGCGAGTTTATGAAGTAGTTATTATCTGTAGATGTACATTGAGTAAAAAAACAAATTCTAATCGTTTTTCACTTCTTTGACCTATTCTCAAATTTAGCAATTTGAAAAAAACTTAAAATATCGACATCTTAATAATCATCGGATCGATTTCGGGTATGAGATCATACTCGAAATCTAAATCAACTTAACAAGATCGCATTCGGACTGATGCTCTTTCTAAAAATATATGTATTTTCAATGAAATCCGAATTATTTTTTTTTTTTTGGTAAATCAAGATGTGCAACACACTAAGCATAAGTTGAAACTTCTGAATTGATCGAAATCGTTCTAAACGAGTTGATAATCAGTTTTAACTTTTTTCAAAAGAATTAATCGATTAATTTTTCATTTCGGTATCATAATTACAATTCTTTTTTATCTAAAATCTAATTCTAAAAGTTTCATTGTTTTTTTTTCTTTACTACTCTCAATGAGAGGATATTCATAGAATGAATTTAATAATATATAAATAAAATAATTATGTTTATATCCTAATTCAACATTTATGAATATAAAAATAAAGATTATTTTGAGCCCTTAAGAGGGCTGTTTGGGTAAATGGTTTTGTTTTGATATCACTTAATTTATGAACCAAAACCATATAATGTACGTCCTTGTCGTTTAAGTGCATAAACAACATCCATAGCTGTAACAGTTTTTCGTTTAGCATGTTCAGTATATGTAACAGCATCACGAATAACATTTTCTAAGAATATTTTTAATACACCACGTACTTCTTCATAAATAAGACCACTAATACGTTTAACACCACCACGTCGAGCCAAACGACGTATAGCTGGTTTTGTTATACCTTGAATATTATCACGAAGTACTTTACGATGACGTTTAGCACCACCTTTACCTAAGCCTTTACCACCTTTACCACGGCCGGACATTTTTTTTTGTTTCCTTTATTATAATAATAATGATAAACATATCATGTATATACATTCGTTATATATCATTCAGATAAAATCTTCATCGATTGGTCAGTTAAGAAACTATGTTAATAAACCAATCAAAAAAAAAACACGAAGAGTATGAAACTGTTCATCATGCGCATAATGTCAAACAAAAAATGGCCAAAAATTTTAAGATATTTAAATAATATTCTGTTATAAAATGTAATAATTCTTCAACGAATGTTTTCTATTGAAATTTATAGATTATAAATTCATATAGAATTAATTATAGTCTAATTTTTTATAGTTAACTTTTAGAATATTCATTTTCATTGAATATAAGAATCAAAAAATTATTATACACAAAAATATCAATATTTAGAACGTAGTTATGAGGACAATAGTAAACAATTTCATACTGCTATCAATAATTTTTAATGATAGAATGTAATTCTACACTATTGTATACTGAATGAAAGGTCACCGATGATGTGTTTTGTCCAATAATGAAAAAGATTGACTCATTCGTATAAGAATGTGAAGTCACGAATTATTTATTCTCTTATTATGAATAGAAAATCATTAATTTTTTATTTGTATATTAGTATAATATACGAAACTTCGAAAGCAAATAATTATATTTTCAAATTCAAATCTAAATAGTTATTCATTTAGAAAGAAAAAAATCGATTTTACAACTTTTAATTTCAATTTAATTAAACTCGAATACCAACATTTATAAATATAGAATAAAAAAAAATGTAGCCCTAAAGAGGGCTGTTTGGGTTTAATAATATATATATATATATTTTTGCAAAATATTATTTATTTAGCACTTGTATATTTAGTAACAGCTTTTGTACCTTCTGATACAGCATGTTTAGCAAGTTCACCAGGTAATAAAAGTCGAACAGCTGTTTGAATTTCTCGACTACTTATTGTTGATCGTTTATTATAATGTGATAAACGACTTGATTCAGCAGCAATACGTTCAAATATATCATTAACAAATGAATTCATAATTGACATTGCTTTTGATGATATACCTGTATCTGGATGAACTTGTTTAAGTACTTTATAAATATAAATTGAATATGTTTCTTTTCGTCGACGTTTAATTTTTCTTTCAGTAGTTTTAGCACCTGAAGCTCCTTTTGATGTTTTTGTAACAGCTTTTTTTGAACCTTTTGATGGTGTTTTTGGTGGCATATTGAATGTTTGAAGTTTTGTTTTGTTTTTTTTTACGAGAATACGAATGAAAAGAAACAAGAAAATTTCTTCATTCTTATATGTACATGATTTTAGTAGTTGAATAACCAATCATTAATGTTTGAATATGATTGGTTTGAAATATTGTTCATTACATAGACATATATAAAGTCAAGACAATACATAGAAATATTCTCTATATCATTCATTCATTTAATCATATAACAAAACAAATCAAGACACAATGTCAGGACGTGGTAAAACTGCAGGAAGTGGTAAAGCACGAGCTAAAGCTAAAACTCGTTCATCACGAGCTGGTCTTCAATTTCCAGTTGTAAGTTAAATTATTCGAAAATAAATTAAATGTTTTTTTATATTTTAATATAAATATATAGGGTCGTATTCATCGTCTTCTTCGACGTGGTAATTATGCCGAACGTGTTGGTGCTGGTGCTCCAGTTTATTTAGGTGCTGTACTTGAATATTTATCAGCTGAAATTCTTGAATTAGCAGGCAATGCTGCACGTGATAATAAAAAAACACGTATTATTCCTCGTCATCTTCAATTAGCTATACGAAATGATGAAGAATTAAATAAATTATTATCTGGTGTAACAATTGCTCAAGGTGGTGTCTTGCCTAATATTCAAGCTATACTTTTACCTAAAAAGACAGCTGAAGGTGGTGCTGTATCAACACCACGTGAAACATCTGGTTCAGCTGGTCCAAGTAAAAAGAAACCAACTGGTGAAAAAGCTGAAAAATCATCATCAGGTGCTAAAGCAACTGAAAAAGCTTAAAATATTATAATTTAAACAAAAAATAACATCAAGATATAACCCAAAAAAACCCAACAGCCCTCTTTAGGGCTAATATTTCTTTTTTTTTAAATTCATAAATGTTGGTTACAATTATACATGAAATTTGAACTTGCTTATCTAGTCAAAAAAGAAAAATAAATAAATATTAAGGACATTTTTGTCTATAAGCAAAAACAACGATTGATTAATTAACTTTTTTTTTGAAGATTTGCAATTTAAAAAGTATCATAGTGATATATATATGAAATATTCTATCAATAATGAGATTTATATTATGCCTAGAAAATAAAGTTTGTTTATAGTGAAGAATCTATTGGATTAGTATTAGAAAAGAATTTAAATAATATGTTAAACATAAATAGAATATTTATGATATAGACAATGGACAAAGTAATAAGCAAATTATTGAACAAATAGAAAAAAACAAAAGATGTCGTTATTTTAAAAGAATAATTTTAGATTTTCTCGAAAAAACACAAAAAAAAATATATATATAACAAAGAAAAAAAGAATTAAATTAATTATATAAAATATTTGATAAGTAAAATATTCAAATTGAATAATAAAGTATACATCGATTTATTCTAATAGCTTTTGTCATATATTTATAAGTTCATTTGAGTGCAATTATTTCTTTTTTAAAGTTTATATTTTACACTATTTGATAAGATGAATTGAAATAATCAATGATATATAAATGTCAAGAACTCTTAACATACATAAAAAAGCGATGAATAACATCTGTGTGTGTGTGTTACATATGGACTTATTTCTGATGTTATATTACTCCTTAACAAAACAGTAATCTTAAGTTGTTTGTAGATAAATATGATTATAAGGTTATGAAATAAGACAAAATTAGTTTATAAATAAACAAAGAATAAATTCATTTTGCTTATGTCTGGAGTCTATCGAGTTGATTTGGTTCCGATAGTTTTGTATTCATATCAATCTTTCAAATGACATATGATTGAATAATATGTTTTAGCATTGTATTAAAAAAAAAATTCTATCGATCTATTTTGAAAAACTAATTTTATTGTTTCACAAAATTTATGAAGAATTCGAGTTTTTTTAAATACATTATTGTGGTCTATTGTATGTGTATAGTGATCAAATTTATCTCAGTTCATTCCTATGATTAAACGACTATAAAAATTAAATAACAAAAAAAAAATGTTTTTATACAATAGGAATTTATTTTAAGTGGTGTTATGATTTGTATAGAAACATATAAAAAAAAAAATGTTATCATCTTTATTTTTTGCACAAAAAAAGAATTTTTTTTTTTTTTCGTTTTATTCATTCTTAAAATGTTTATTTTTTTTTAATCATCATTATTTGAATCTTCATTTATTTCATCTGAAATAATAGAAGAATGATCAAGATCATTATCTAAAAAGAAATTTTTTTTTTTATCAATAAAAAAAATAATTTAAATTTAAACTAACTTTTTTTATGTTGCATTTTCAATGTATCCGATGATGGTGATTGAATTGGTTCATTTTCACGCTAAAAAATAAAAATAAAATAATCATAATCAATTTAAACGAAAAAAAAAACATACAGAAGTTGAAAGTGGTGAATGTATTTCATCGTCTACTTCTTCAAAATCTTCACCATAAGCTAAAAAAAAAGAAGAACTTAAAGAAAATTAAAAAAAAACGATTTCTTAAATTACGATTTGGTGAAGTAGTTGTTTTTGATTGATGACTTGGCTAAAATAATTAACGTAAAAAACAAAATAAATAATACATTAATTAAAAGAAATAAATATAATCTACCGCAGTCATTGGACGAATTCTTCTTAGTGATGGCGATTCATGTCGTTCTATAGATCAAATAGAACAAAACAAAATTTTTTCACTATTGATATTATTATTATACCTTCTAAACTTGATGTGTCAGATTTAATTGACACTGGACTTGTCATACGAAATGTATTTTTTTTCAAATCAATTTGTTTATTATTATTTTCAATTGATTTCTGTTTTGGTATAGAAGATTCACTTGTTTCGGAAGAATCTTCATTATCACTTTCGATTGTTCTTGGACTAATTTTAAGAAGTCCATTTGTTTTTGAATTATTCTCATCTACTTGAATTGGTTTTAGAGAAGGAACAGAAGAATCAGATCTTTCAGAATATAACTCATGAGAATATCCTGCATTGATAGGTTGATTATCAGATTCGATTGGTTTCGGATTTGATATAGATGATTCATTTGTTTGAAAATCTTCCTTATTAGATTCGATTGGTTTTGGACTTGATATAGGTGATCCATTTGTTTTTGAATGATCTTTATTATCAATTTCATTTGTTTTTGAATCTGTTTTATTAGGTTGATTTGATTTCGAACTGATTATATTGGATGTTTTTTTCTGTGAACTTTGAATAGATGAAGAAGTTGATTTTGATATTTTCTCACGTGATGTACTTGATTGTCGAGTTGGTGTACGACTCTTAGTCGGTTTTCGATAACGAGTTCTTTTAGACTAACGAAAATTTTTAGAAAACAATTTAAAAAAAAAAGATGGAAAATATACTTTTGGTCTTGATTCTCCTTCCATTAATTTTTTCATTCGTTCTTCAAATCGACATCTTTTTATATTTTAAAAACACAAAAAAAAAAGTCAATTTTAAAATAAATTTTAAATAAAATACCTTCGACATGGTGCACATTTTTCTATACCTCGAATAGCAAATAGACCACGTTTTCCTCCAATACGCATATCATTTTTACATCTATATTCACAACAAACAGATAGACGATTATTAATAATACCATTGACATAAAATGCTAATGCAAATGGATAATCTGTATGTCGTCGTGATTCAAATGAAAAATCATCTAGGATAAAAAAATTTTTTAATTATTCTATATGAGGAACAAAAAAAACGAAACTTTCTTATTTACCATTAGGTTTTAATAGACCTTTAAAAATAGTAAGATTTTCTCCACCACAATGTTGTTGCATAATAATTATTTCATCATCTTGAGGTATAAATAAACTACGATTATAATCAATATTAATTTCATCTCCAAAATATCTCATTGTTATAAAACATCGATTATCAGCAGGCATTATCTATATGACATAAATATAAATTAGAGATTCATTTGTTTTTTTGTTTTTGATCTTTTTATCATTTATTTAAAAAAAAAACATTTCTACTGAATGAAAATCTAATTCATTTTATTTGTATATTTTTAATTGTAATATTATTGATATATAACGAAAGATAAAATGCTCAAATTTTCAAAATAATAATTTTCCCATTGACAATATAATAATATTTGTTTTTTTTTTTTGCTGTTCTCAATAAAAAAAAATACAGCAATCGAAAAATTTGTCAACATTACAATACCTCCGGACTGACTGCTTGACGTATTCGAACATTTTCTATCCATGTTGATTGCTTTGATGATGAAAAGCTTGTTGAATGTAGTGTTTTGTTTGTCTAATGAAAAGAAAAAGATTTTCTTTTTTTTTTTTTTTTCTTTTGTCAAATAAAATGTTTTCATATAACTATTTGTTTTTGCTGAGCCATAACTGTACTTTTAGGTTTTCGATCAGTTGAATTATAATTAATTGGTTGTAGTCGTTCTTGTTCATTTGTATTCTATTTAATTTCAAAAATAACAAATAAGAAAAAATATTTTAACGAACTGATATATTTTCTTTCGGACGTCTAATAGTTGATGTAACCATTGGATAATATAATTTTCTAATTAAAGAAAAACAAAAACAGCATGAATTCCTTTTAATAAGTAAAAAAAAACACATTCGATTACTTATTTGAGGTATGTTGTCGTCTAGTATGACGTCTATATTCATCCTTTGGAATAATATCCCCGTGGCGATCGATCTATTATGTAGTAATAGAAAAAAAAAACACCGAATAATATATTGCTTGTTAAATTAAATCAACGAAATCGAAAAAAAAAGCTTACTAAGCCAACATTAATTAAATGTTTCCGAATATGATCAGTTTTTAAAATAGCTTCTAATTGTTCATGTGTTAATGTTATAGATTTTCTATTGCAAAAAAAAAAAATTTTCTCAATAAATATTTTATTATTGTACAGTTAATGAAAAACTTACTTTGTTTCTGTCATTGTATGGACGTTGTGGTGATTGATGATTGATCGTTCTGTTTAAATAAAATACTTGCAACGTCTTGACAAACGTTCTTCTGTTTTGTCAACTGAAAAACAAAAAAAAAAAGACGATGTGTAATTATAGAGTTTGCTTTCTTTTTTCTTTCTTTCTTAACTGTGACAACATTCATAATAATATGTTTTTTTTTTTGTCTTTTTTGCACGATATTTTCAATCGGTAAATCATATATATGATTTTCTTAAAATATCAAAGAAAAAAAATTAATCATAATTCGATGTGAAAAGCTTTAAAACTCATTAAAGAAAGAAATATTATATATAAATAACAGTTCTCAATTGACTCGTAACGAAATTGGGTATATCTCTTGTGATATTTTTATGACTTCTATGTTGATACAAATCGTTCATTTTTGATTTTTAATGTGATGTGACACAATTGCCTGTTATGTCTTTATTCATCCTTCTTTCTGTATATAGAATTTATATTTTCTGCGCAGAATCATAATCCAATTGTTAATGTTTGATCTGTAAGGAGTTAGAATGTTAGATTTTTGAACCTAAAAAAAAAAAATAAATAATGAAAAATAGTAGATGTGATAGGAAAACTTCAATTTACAAAAAAAAACTTTTATTTATTCGATTTTTGATCTATGGCTGAAATACAATCAATAACATATTGAGACCGATAAAGAAATTTATAATTTTCTACAACGATTAAAAAATATTGTAATAAAATATTTAAATTTATTCAATAAATCGGAAAAAGAATGAATCAAATTTCTTTTAAGTTTAAAAAAATATCTTTCTTTTTATCGCCTTCGCATATATGAAAATTCAGTTAGATAGCACGATTATATTTGCGTTTTTCTTTTTTATTATTATAATAGCATATAAAAAGATTCTCAATACATTAACAATATTCATGTCAAAAGAATTTAACTATTTTTTTTCTTTTTTTTATAAAAATTAATATTGAATTTTAATGTTAATGAAAACGATTAAATCAGTATGACTCTTTTGAAATATTCAAAAAGGTTATCGAAGTTCTATTCTAAGATTTATATATATTTTGTACTACGGTCACAAAGTCTAATTGATTATTCAACACGCCAATGTAATCCTTTAAAACTGTTTTATGGATAAGATCAATAAATATCATCTACAAATGATCATGTCATATCAGAAAAAACAAAAATAAACATAAACGATGTGGTTCAATAGCATCATAAGTTATTGTTAGATATTTTTCTTTTTGGTTATTATTTACTTATTTGATAATTTCAGCATTTTTAAATAGCTAATAGAAATTTGAAAAAATTACATCGAAAGCAGAATTTTCTGTAGAAGAGAGATCGATCAGTTATTTTTAGAGACCTGTATATATTAAAAGCGAAAATTATTTTAAGTATAGTTAATGAAAGAGTTAACATTTCCTTTATGAACAGTTTGTTTTCTAATATTGGACATCATTTTAATTTAGATAATCTTCTTGAATTTTATAGAAAACTAGACTCGTAAAGATTGTTCTGAAACTCTTGATTTGGTTATCATTTCGTAGAGAATAACATTGCATTCAATTCTATGCAACACGCCCTTAAAAAAAGGCTGAAAATTGATATGTTAGCCATTAAGATCAATTATTAACTATAATATACAAACAAAAAAAAGTCGTGTATCTTTTAAAAATCAAAGTTGTCAAATAATCGTCATACTTGACGAGAATAAGATAAAATGTTATACAAGGACGACATATTCTTCTTTTTTATGAAAAAACAAAAAAATACGGAAATAGAATGATGCTTTCTATGATACTTCATATGAAAAAAATAGACATGTTGATAATAATACTTTTTCTAAATTCAAGGTTGTTGCCTTTTTTTTTTTTTTTTTCTTTCTTCTATTTCAGCTTTTCAGTTTTGTCACGTTTGATCTCAACAGAAATATCAATTAGAAGGATAATATATAAGTCATTTGGATTAAAAGAATAACGTAGGAGAATAAAAAAGAAAACAGTAGAATAACTACTCTTATCCAAAGTTATTTTTGACATTAATGTAGTTTATTTACTCTTGTTTTATTATATTTTAAATTTCATGAACTCGTCTTAGTCATCTAGTCTTTTGTATATTTAATCGGTCAATTATTAATGAAAAGCCGTTTCTAAGATTACTAGACACAAATAAGTTTTAATTCTTCTCATGAATGTATTAAAAAGCAAAATTCTACTGAATTTTATTTTCTTCTACGTTTTGTCTGAATAAACATCATATGTTCTTTCTGAATTTTCTTTGTGTTTGTTTGTTTTTTTTTCAATTATTATATTCAATAGGATAGATTCTATTTCAATTATTATAATATAGATTTAATATTTTAGATTAATGACTATTTTTTCTAATCCTTGTTTTTATATATATTCATCGTATTTGAAAAATATTATTTTCTTATCATAGTAAACAGAAGTTTTTATAGAGAGAACATTTTGCGGTATGTGATATATTTGAGTTATTCTTTAAGTTGATGTTATGACATCGTTTTTTTTTGCCTTTATTATAAAAACGATTCTTTTAAATAAGAGTTCTCAGAAAAAAGATTATAAATGGCTTTGTTATCTAATGACTGAAGTCTAATACAAAAGAAACATAGTTTTAATAATTCATTTGTAACTAAATTAGAAACATTGGTGAGTGATGGTACTTTTTTTGTTGTTTTATTTATCCGGAAAAAGGAAATACATCTTTTCTTCGATTGATATAAAAATAATTAATTTTATCAATTAGAAAAAGCGTAACAATAGGGTAAGAAACCAAGTTAATTTAGTTTTTCGTACTCCTACACAGTTCCGCCACTTCATGTAGGTTTTTTTTTAATCTTTCTTGTTTCGATAGAAATTGCGACTTTTATCAGAAAAAGCAAAACTATATAATGAAACCAATTGACTTTGAAGATCAAAACTATATTATTTAAAGATACATTTGTAGATGCAATCTCATTTATACTTCTGTTTCATGGCGGATTTCTTTATATCAAATAGTTTTATTATTTTAGCAAGTTATCAGTATATAGCATTAAAATCGATTCGAAGGTGATCTTAGAAAATTGTTTTGATAGTCAAGCTTTTCGTTACTAGTAATTCTTAATGATATTTTAACTAGAGAAAATTCTATTATACTTGTATAAGATTAATCGAAATTTCAATACTTTGTTTTATTATCCATCCAATCTCATTAAAAGTGAAAATACTGTCTTGCATCAAGATTTATTTCTCTCATTGTTGATCTCGAAAATTATAGCAAATATTAGAACCGGAATTATACGATATTTCATTAATATTCATGTATCAATTAGACAGAATCATGTTAAAATTTATAGTAGAAAGAAGTCTAGGAAGGGAATGGTTTGATTATATGTTAAAGACATAGAACGCTAGTTTAAACATTGAGTCCATGAATCATATATTTTTGTTGTTCAAGATGTAACAGATAAAATTTGTCTTTTAGTAATTACTATACATTTAAAGAAAGTTGAAATAAAATCTACTGGCAACAATTTTTTTGATTACAAGGAAAAAAGACTGTTAGTACAATCTGTATGAGATTAAAATAATTCTTTTAGTTCAAACTAGAAAATGAACTTTACACTTTATTTGAAAAAAAAAACAAGATATTAGTAGATAAGTCATATTAAGATTAATCAATTAAATTCGATTATTTCTCTTATTATTATATTTGTATTGATTTAATAATTAATTATTTTCTTTTTGTATCAATCGCAAAGAATATATTTGTAATTCAGTTGGGAATAAAATACTAACGATGTTTTTTTTTTTTTACAATATTTAGATATCGAAATTTACAAAACTAATTAATAGAATTAAATTTCACTGATAATGTCTTTCTCAATGCCACCATGGGTTAGAACATTATCTATCATTCAACGACACACTGCTCATTATATCTACGCAATATTTCTTGTATTTGGTGTTACTGGTTGTTGTCTTAATATTTTACTTTTATGTGGTCGACGTAAATTTCGTACAGTAACCTGTTGCGTATGTAAGTTAGTTTTTATTGATTACAAACAATCCAAAATAAAATTCAAATACTATTATCAACGCTAAAATGCAAGACCAGTCAAGGTTTTTTTGAATAACTTTCGATACAAAACATCGAAGAAACCTACGTTTGTCACTATTCAAAAAAGAAAATTCAGAGACATCGAAATTTGATTGATCAGCAATTGTTCAATAAAATGAATTCTTGAAGGAAGATTCTCGAAAACGATATTCTGAGATCACCTATCGTTCAATCTATATAAGGTCAACATCTCTAACTTGTTCCGTTTGAGAACTATAAGATTTTTCCCGAGACCCACGAAAAAATTTTTCAAGAAAAAACCGCGGTTTCATAAACCGCGAAAGTCAGACCTTTTATGCGGTTTTTGAAACCGGCGAAAACCGCGGTTTGCAAATACCGCGGTGAGAACCGAGAAAATCGCGGTCCGGGCTGAGTTTTTGCAGGTCTAACCGCGGTTTTCGCCGGTTTCCAAAAACCGTATAAAAGGTCTGACTTTAGCGGTTTTTCAAAATGTGGAACAAAACCGCGGTTAACCTCAGATTACCGCGGTTTTTTTCGGAAGAATTTTTCCGTGGGGACTTCCAGCTTTAGTCAATTGATCTATTATCATTATCTAGGCATGTTTAATCGTCGTGCTGAATGGAATTATGATATCTGTTTTTAGGTGAAACTTGGTCTGACACTATTATTTCAATATTTCCCAGATGGTGACTTCTTTGTTATATATGAAGGTTGATTGTAGAAGTTTAGACGAAGTCTTGTAACTCTCGAACGGAGCAATTAAGAAATATCAGTATGGTATAGATTGAAAGGCAAATGACTTTAGAATATTGTTTTCAAGATTCTTTATCAAATATTCATTTGATTAGCAAACTGCTAACCAATCATATTTCGATAGCACCAAGTCTTCTCTCTTGAACAGTGAGAACTGTAGATCTCGATAATGTTCCTATTGAAAGTTATTCAAAAAAAAAACAAAACAATACATTGATCTGCCTTATATTTAGATGTTGATAATAATCATGAGTTTTTCTTTTCTTAATAATGAAAAAAAAAAAGAAAATTTTCAACTATTGATTTTATTCGAATAGATATGGCAGCAGCATCTATCATTATGTTGATTAATCTATCTTTGGGTATTGGAACGACTTTATTTTTACTCAATCCTAGACATTTCTATTTTTTATCACCTACTTTTTCTCGAATAAATACATATTTACTTCAAGTTACATCAATGATGTATCGTTGGTGTTTAGTTGCAGCAAGTTTTGATCGATATGCACTTACATCAACAGATTTAAATTTAAGAAATTTTGCTAAAATGCATGTTGCTCGTCGTACAATTGTTATTATTATAGTTGCTTGGATTGTATTACCTATACATAATCTTATCTATAATACTGGAAATATGAATTCAAGTAATATTTATTATAATGCTCCTTTATTATATTATCATAGTATATTTACACTTACTGCTGGATGTATTTTTCCAGCAACAATTATGATAACTTGTGCATTTTTAACTCATCATAATCTTGTTCTTAAACAAAAACGTCGTCAATTTATTATAGCTCAACATGGTGGAAATAATATAGAAGCAAGAGATCAAGAACGAAGACGTGATCGACAAGTTTTACTATTATTAATTGTTCAAGTTATTGTATTTCTTATAACAATAATTCCATTAATGTGTTCTCATTTTTATAATGCTATGACACTTAATATTAAAAATAAATCAATTGAACGAATGACAATTGAAAGATTTGCTGCATATTTAGCATCACTTAGTGTTTATCTATTTCCAACTTTATCATTTTATTTATATACAATGACTTCTACTATGTTTCGTAGTGAATTAAAAAAATTAATACGATTTATAGTACGATGTAATTGTTTACGTCAAAATGTTCGTATTGAACCAGTTGGAAACAATATTAAACATCGACCAGTTACAAGACATTAATTGAAAAATAAGCAAATAATGTTATAAGTCTTTAATTATTATGAATGAAATTATTCAATATGTAAGAAAATTTTCATATGAAGATATACTATAATGAATAATTTTTGTCATTTATATAGAAAAATAATATACAATTCAAGAAATAAAAATTGATTGTCGAACATTGTTCTCTACATTTTAAAATCTTTGTTTAACTAATTCGGATTACTATTTTACACATAAGTATTATTGTGTTGTTTTTGTTTGTAGAAGTCATGGAACCAGGATTTTGTGGTATGCTGAATCGCAACTTTAGAGTATGGGTCCCAGTTGAAACTTATAGGGAGATGATATTGGCCTCAAATGATGAGTTTCTATCCAAAGATTTTTTCGATAAGAGTTTGCTAAAAAAATTAGCATTTTCCTGCGGTCTCTCCAGAAAATTTCTAATATGTCCGTAGTATCCTATTTCTAAGCATGCCATCGTACGCTACGTTGAATTTAATCGATAGATTTCAAATCTCATATAACACTATAGTGTTATATGAGATTTGAAATCTATCGATTAAATTCAACGTAGCGTGCGATGGCATCCTTAGAAATAGGATACTACGGACAGTATTAGAAATTTTCTCGGGAGGGCTCAGGAAAATGCTAATTTTTTTTAACAAACTTATCGAAAAAATCTTTGGATAGAAACTCATCATTTGAGGCCAATATCATCCCCCATAAGTTTCAACTAGGATCCAGCATATCGCAAAATCCTGGTTCCACTACTAGTTTGTAGTTGTCTTAAGTATGTATTGATTATTTTATCTAAATGATAGTTCATTGTACGTCGTAGGTTTTTTTCATCTTGTTCTTTTCTTTCTTAGAAAGTATCATTTTCAATTTCTATTTATTCTTAATCGGTCATTTTAGTTTGTCGTTGTTTGTAGTTAATCACGCTTTTGATTATTGTACGTTGCTTGAAACTATTGGGATCATATAAAGAAGAATAAATATATATCTATATACCATTAATATTAACTCTTTCTTAATGATAATATATCAAGAAAAGAGAGTGTTTAGTAGTAGAAAGTAAGAAGAATGTCGACGAAGGAACTTTATACAACAGAAAAAAAAACGAGAAAATGTATATGTATTCGATGACAGATGAAACGATCTATAACCTTATAGGTATAACATTTTAATGGAGAGTAAACATTTTCTGTAGTGAAAAATAGAGAGAACAATATATATTCCACTGTCCTGAAATGATTAAACTAAACTAACATTTTAATTTCTGTAAAAAAAATAAGAATAGTTGGAAAACAAACCAAAATTTTGATGATTTTGTACTTCTGACGTCAACTTTAACATACAATTTGTCCTCATGTTGTTATTTTAATGTTAAGCTTAGTATAGAAGGCAATGCTTCGAGCAAAGAATAGGGTCAAAATTACACTTAAGAAAGAGTATTGGAGCTGTTCTCCTCTATTTTTACTCGTGCATATCTCATTTGAGAGAGTATAATGATTTAAAAAAAAAAACAAGTATGATCACTTGGTTAAAATTTTTCACCGTTTTGGTGTATTCTTAGATATTTAACAATAAGAGCAAATGAAGAAATTCCAATCTGGCATTTTGCTCCAATAAAGACTTGAATATATTGAATTTCTAGAAACCAAATTGGTTATTAAAGACATGTTACAAAAATTTGAGTTCACTTGAAAAATCAATATTGTGAGAAATGTTTTATTTTTTTTTTGGCTGAACATGTTAACATATTCTAAGGATTTTTTTTTTCTTATTTCAATATACTTCATCAAATAAAATATAAAGAAATCAAAATAATGCTTAACCGTTTCTATAAAGTCTTATGTCGACAACGTTGAAGAGTAGTAACTTCCTCGTCCAAGATCAATTTTCAATACAATACATGAAACTTTCTGAAGTTGTTCATCTAATAAAAGTATTTTAATAAAAATTTCTAAGAGTTATAGGGCAAAATACACCTTAGGATAGCGTTGTATCAGTCCTATCTCATCTTATGGGATAGAGCTCTTATCGAAATTTTATTATTATGATATTTATTGAAGTATGATTACATATCACAAAAGACAACAGAGTTTTGATATTACTCTCATGTGATATAATATTGTGTAAATAAATTAATAAATTTCACTTTTTTTTTCAAAAAATATCTTGATATAGCTGATTTTTTATATCAATATAAAAAGAAAAATTATTTTAAATAAATTTCATGTGATTAAACCCGATAGAATATTAATTTAGTTTTGTATGTTTAACATCGATTATAATCGATATTTGTTCGTGATTACTAAATCGATTATAATCAAAAAATAATCAGAACAATCAATTCAATTTTGATATTTTTGATTAGAATCAATTTTTTCGTATCACGTTTTTTTACATGAGTAGCACGCAATGGGACGTAAGATTTTTAGAAGTGTCCCATTTCATCCTACGCAATGCCTCGATATAAAATTTTTAATATAATTCAAATTACAATGCTCAAACTATTCTCATAGATATTAATAGTCAAATAGAAAATTCTTTTTCTTCATTCAAAAAAGGAATACATTCATCTATTGAATAAAAATAAATCAAAATTCACTACAACATTTCCTATCGTGAAATATTTATCTCCAAGTATCCTTCTTCTTTTAAGAAAAATCAATTTTTTTTTTTTTTGGAAAGGAACAGTAAGACCTTAATAAACATCTAGTTTAAGATAAAGCACATATCTTTGTTTCATTATTTGTTCAAGAAAAAAAAAAAAAAAATTCGTCATTATGTATTCGTGTACAAATTGCAAAAAAAGAAGAAAAAAAATACACACAGAAAGAAGAAATAAAAGAAAAAGTGACGGTCAGTGTGAAAGAAGAAAGAAAAGCTAAGAATCAATCTTAGACACTCAAACCAGAAGAAAAACAAATCGACAATGACTAGAACAAAAAGGGCAACATAAGGTTAATTGAATGAACTTGCATTCAAATGTTAAGTGATCAACACTTTTTAATAAAAAAAAAAACACACACACACACACACATACACACAACGACTATCGAAAATTGGCCATTTCATAATGGGCAAATCGTTCATCATCATAAGAAGGTACAGGTGGTTGTGGTAACGGTGGTGGTGCTTGTCGATAATAATCAGGAGTCATTGTTGATGGTCTCCGTTGAAGAAGACCTCCTCCCATACCTCCAGCTCCATATCTATTAGTCGATAATTGTGATGGTGTACGTTGAGGTAATAGATGTGATTGTGTTATATCATTAACAAGTGGTGATGATGGAAGTAGACGTGTATTTGTTGTTGTTATAACTGGTATAGTACCAGGTGGACTTATTTGTGGTATATGAGCAATTAATGTAGCTGTTGGACGTGGTGGTACATGTGTTGAATCATTTGTTAATTCATTTTTATCATCTAATTTTGGATGTGTTGCATTCCAATAGATATCTAAAAAATTTGCTAAACAATTACAAGCATCTTCTAATTGATTTTGTTCTAATGTTAAATCAAACATATCCTAAATAATAAAAAACAAAAGAAAAAACAATTTTTTTTTTTTATAGTTTATTATATTTAAACATACTGTTGAACATTGTGTTAATTTATCAGCAGCAACTAATTGTACATTAAGATTTCTATGTTGACTTTTACCACGTGATTTAATTAATTTTTGTAAAACTTTTGGTGATGCAACTTTTAAATAAACAATTAATGGTGCTAATGATGTTTTTTGTAATTGAGCTGGATGATTTATTGTATCACAATCAAGTACAACTAATTGTAAACTTCGTGCTAATTCAAATATACGTTCAATTTCATCATGAACTTCTTTTATACCAGTTGAACGTGTTGTACCCATTGGACTAATCATATTTGATGTTGTTCCAGATAAATTAGCACTAACACCTGATGGTGCACCACGTTCAATAAGTGCAATTTTTGATGGATTATTTAATAGACCACGTTTAGCTAATGATATATCAGCTGTAACACGTGTTATTATAATTCGACCTTCATAACGATGTTTTAAAAAATCAAAAACAGCTTTTTGCATCATATCAGTTACATCATAGCCTTTTAAAGACGGACCAACAAGTACAACAGGACGCATATTAGGTACAACATCATAGGGAGTTATGTTTACAGTCTAGAAAACAAAAAACAAAAAAAACGTACGTACATTATTAAAATATTTCTTGTTTATATCAATAAATTTCTTTTTTTTTTGTAGTTAGTTACTATGTTTAACTATAAAATTGTGTCAATTGTTATGTGAGGGTAGACAACAAATGATAGACATGTAACCCATAATTTCCCTTTTCTTCTTAAACAGATGTTTTTGTCTGTCATAAATAATTAAAAGAATAATGATTGAATTGTTTGTAATATTTAGAACAAATAGTATTTTATAATTAATACAAAATTTAAATAATAAAATTTGAAAAAAAAAATTTCTTATTTTAATTAAATTCGAGATTATGATCTATCTTGATTATCTAAATTTTTATCTTCTTATACATCAATAAGATTTCATTATTTATATTTGAATTTTATTGGATAAGTGTATATTCATTGTAAATATAAGTTAATAATCTATTTATATACTCGATAATCTCTATGGATCAATAACAAAAATTATCATTGAACTTTACTATGAAAATTAGTTATTTTTCTTCAAGGATATTTCTTTATTATTAAGTAACATTGATTAATTAGAAAAGATTATGTGAAAACAATGTAAAATGACACATCTGTCATACAGCTGAATGAAAACAAAAATATAATTATTTGAAGAAAATATTGTCGAAAAACAATATAATGAGTTCCATACTTTAGAAAAGACTATTTATCTTAACTACTCAATCAATATATGTCTACTAATTATGAATCCTTATTTTTCTTTTTTTTTTTACCTTTTTGAAAAAAGTTTTCTTTTTATCTTTATTAGCATTAATATTTAATTTTGATTTTGTAAGACTATCACCATCACCATC